CTATAGCCTTCGTGTGGAGCCGGTATCCTCCTGTGTTCTCACCTCAAATGGGTAGAGGCACTGAGGAGGCCCCGGTTAGTGTCGGCTTGCTAAAACTGCTCCAGAGTGTCCGTACTGTAGGCCCTGTCGAGCTACTCCGTCCCCTCAGCAGCCAGACATGGCGGAACGTCCGGTGCCAGGCCCTCACTCTTTGAATCCGTGAGAACCGGTAGAGGGCTGGGTTCTATATGTAGAGGCCTAAGTGGTTCCCATATGTGTAAAGTCCACAGTATAGCCTCAGAGCCCGTGTTTCCCTGGCAGACTTCTGCCATTCCATGAGGGTTACAATCACCTCTAATCTTCCATATGCACCTAAACGGATGCCATATGTGTAAGTGCTTCCGAAACCTTCTTCGGGAAGGATGGGGCTTCCTCAACGTTCCTGTTCTAAGTGGTACGGGTACGTTTTCCCAGTGTTATCCAATCTCACTGATTGGGTAGTGCTTCGACAACAGTGACTGGTCTTCTTGTTGCGAGCCCTGGCCTACACCAAAAAGGAGCACAGGAGGCTCGCACAGGACACTGGAAGGGGCAGCATCCATGGCGCTTTGGTAGGGATCCCAATTCGTCGGTCACGACGTGACTCGTAGTGACAGACTGAAAGGGAACGTTTCGGTTACGTATGTAACCCTCGTTCCCTGAAAGAGGGAATGGAGATGTCACGTCCCGTCGCCACGGCTGCTGTACCACTGCTGAGCGGCCGGGTCACCGGCTCGGCTCCTCAGCGAAAACCTGGTATGCGTTGCATTTGCTGCCTTTTTATGCTCACGCTGTGACCAGTGGCAGCTGGATGCAATCATCGCATGCCAATGTGCATTGGCTCTTTTAGTTTACACTCGAAGTAGATTGGTCTCTCGAAGCAAGATCCCAATTCGTCTGTCATGACATGACGTCTCCGTTCCCGCCTTCAGGGAACGAGGGTTACATACGTAACCGAGACGGTTTTCTTTGTAAATGATTTTACAAATCAGTTTACAAATCAGATTTTACAGATTTTAATGAAGGCTGGTTGTGCAAAATTAGTACTAATATATCTAGATAACATGCATTTAAAATATCACTCCCAGTTTATGTCATAATCACAGATATTAATATATTTTTAAATATTACTAAAATAGAATGAAAGGTAAACATGAACAAAAGGGGCTTCTTTAAACTTACTGCTAAGCATTTGGGGGATCATGCACAAAGTTAAGAATTTAACATGTTTCTGTGTGTGCTTACATAATGGTTTTTGATCAGAGATGAATACTGTATTCCGTTCTGAAGGGCTCATCTCTATGCCCTGATCCCTTCGAAGGGTTTTTCCTCCAGAGTGAGAGCTTCAGAGGGCAGAAGGGTGTGGGGACCAAAAAACTAAGGAGGTGCTCATCCGAAATCCTTCATTACGAAGGGCCCTTTGAAGTGGCTAGTTTTGAGCACTTCAGTTTGTAACGACCCTTCAGTATTGCAGCTACGATTGTTATCACTTCAATCCTCTTCTGAGGATTTATTTCATTTGGAACGCAGCATTCTTCTTCTTCGTTAAGTTTTAACAGCATCTTGCATCCTTTTAATGTTGCATTTACTGCCATCTTCTAAGTTACAAAGTAGCATGCTGTGCCCCAATCCACCTACTTATACTATGCCCTAAAAGTATGCACTCTTTCATAATGTTTTTGCAGATGAAATATAACACAGATAACAATAATTGAATATTTTTTCATCAGGTTCGATATCTCATGTTTAAAAAAAAAAGTACACACTTGGTTCATAATTTATGTCATTGTCACTGAAAACTAGGACGTTTTCCCCAACTCTGTCCTATTCAAAGTTCAAATTAGTGTGTCCTGAATTGTAGTACATAGTATCCCAAAAGTACCCAGATAATTTACCATTTCAGGTGAAAATTCTAAGCGCAGATCCATGAACATGAACAAACATGCCCCCACTCTGACAAAGCAATTTTCTTTATACGTTTACAGCAAAATCAGAGTACAAGTAGTTTTAGATTATAGATTTAGATTATAAGACAAGCTAATATAACAGTAGAAAAATATGAGTATTTATTAATGAACCATGCTGAAAATCAAATCATTTAAAAAATATTGTTAGCTGATGCTAACTAGCTAGCTAACTATAGCTGATGCTAATTTGAGGTAATTTTCTTAAAACAAAAGATGTGATCTTCAGAAAGGAATAACTGCAGTAATATGATAGTGGGAGCGATGCCGCTTGGGGGCGTTTTTACCCCACAGACTAGTTTTGGGAAAAAAAATACATAAAATGATGTCATTCTGAAAATATTATTATATTTTCCTTAAATAACTAGCGGCCTACTATTCTTATATCACATATAACTGTGATGTTCTGTGATGTTTTAAGCTTTAAAACACTTTTTTCTTACTGCTGAAAATTAGATCACTTATACTGTGAAATCCGTTTTCTCTCAGGAATGTCACCAGTGTAAGCTTCACAGTGAATACGTCTACATTACTCTTGTCAATGTGGTCCATAGCAACAACAAAACAAGTATCATGACAGTTTTTTTCCTTAGGCCATATTCCACCTGAACAATGCAATACTTTTCATCACTGTTCATCTTTAAACAGCACATTTGTACAGTATGGTATTTTTTCTCTATATTTTTAGTGCCACATAGTTATTATTATTTTAATTAATTGTCTATTCTCTTTATTATTAGTGTTATATTTAGGTATATCTATTATATGTATGTCAAATTATATGTATGTCTGCACTATGTCTGTACTTTTTCTTTGCATTGGAAGCTCCTGTCACCAAGACAAATTCCTTGTGTGTAACACACTTGACAATAAAACCCTTTCTGATTCTGATAGTGATTTTTTGGGAAAAACAGTAGGGGGCGTTTTACCCCACTCTACCCCACTGTTTAGAAAGCATAGTATGTGAATATTATTCAGATTCTTTCCATTTATTTTATATTTCATAATAACTGCAAATAATCACATGTTCTGCTGTTCATGATATTTGATAATGTTCACAAAATCCAGTTAGATGTTCCCCTATAAGATTAAATGTACTATTAAATTTATTGTGTCCAATTCTGGTCATGATTGTAGGCCTATCCCCTTTCCTTTGTCGTGCCAAGTCTTTTTTGTAATGCGTAGATGCCTTCCTTTTAAATCTCGGTCCCATTAGACAGAGATAAACACAGACCACCAGAATACCATTTGTTGTGCGAAAGCGACGGTTTACATATGAGCTGTGTTAGCACCGTATACATTTGGCGTCGTCAGCAGGCTATAAGCAGCTTTCTCCACACTTCCCTATTATTTGTTCTCCCGAGTAATGAAAACTCTAATAAACGTGAACGCCGTTTTCCCTGTGATGCTTTAAAAGCGGTTTACCACACATAGGCCTACGTTTCTGTGGTACTAATTTCCCCACTTTGATGTCCCACCTCTTCCTGTTGTTTTGTTATTAAGTTTGTTAGTTTGGGTCTATTAGGCTCCTTTGGGTCTCCACAACACTTTCTTTTAAATTCTGTTTTTTTACCTTGGCTTCAAAGTTGTTTTTATTTACTAGCCTACTAGCCTTTTATTTACAATCAACCTGCAGGAATGATTTAAGTGCAGGTTGCTACTCAGCCCAAGCACATGCATAGAGTCCCAAACCTTCAGATAGGGACTAATGAGCTGACCCTGATAGACAAAGTGTGCTGGAATCTTGCTTTTATTTACTCACTGACAAGTCTTTTGAAATATTTCTTGAATCAAAGATTTAAAAACTTAGTCTTGTATTTTTTATTTATTCATTCAATTCAATTCAAGTTTATTTGTATAGCGCTTTTCATGATGCAAATCGTTGCAAAGCAGCTTTACAGAAAATTAAAGTTTCTACATTATATTTAGTAATAGCTTATCAGTGGTGACTATCTCAACTTGATGTCCATATGGCAGAAATGTACGGTAAAATCAAACAGTTAGTTAATGTCATGTAATCAAACAGACGGTGAACACTATTAACAGCAATGATTATAATGTTGCGATCAAACTTATAGCATTTATTTATTAACTTATTTATTTATGTAGTAACATATGGCCTTGTCTTTACTTAATTTGATGCAATTATTATGTATGTATATTTAATGTAACTGACCCCTTTGTACATTCGTGACTGTTAGAGCAGACTGTTAAAAGTTTTAATTGTACAGTGTGATCTTCAAACATCTCAAAGTTTTTACGTTTGTTCACCTTTTCACTGATGCACTTTTTAAATTGTATAAAAGTTCGCAAATTTCATATATCAAAGTGATTTTTGGTAGCTGACATTCACAATGTTTTTTTTTCAACATACTGAGATGCTTCTTTGAGATTATATCCTGACTGTCCTACAAACAGCAGTAATGTTTACAAGAAAAGGTTACAGGAAGTCTGTGATGTCACGAAAGGACAGACAATACAGAGGTGTACAGTATAATCTTGCAGTAGTTTATGAAGGCAAGCCAATCATTCACAGTCTGCTGAGATGATGATGGTTATGTGGATATCTGTCATGCTTCTATGTGAAATGTGTAAGTGTGTAACACATATACTGTATCTAAATGCATTTCTTTAATATTTTTCTTTAATATACAAAGGTAAGTCACCTCCAGTAATTTCTATAATTTCATGTTTTTTTTTTATCCCTGTAGAGAACTTTTCTAAATAATTGTTTTGAACATAAATTTAATGAGGGCTGTATTTCTCTGTCTAATGCAATAGTTTTATTTAAAGAATGTATTACCTTGAACTAAGGATTTTTAAAATTGTTTATGTATTTTTTTGCCTATTGAAAAAAATGTTAAACATCTCATAAATTACTTTTGTAAGTAATTATGGGGCTTTAAAAAAACGTATATATACCTACATTTAACTTTAACATGGTACTCACAATGACAACATTGTTTTCTGAAATATGAGCTTACTGTGTAACACTGTCACATAGATGAAATAACATTGTTTTCTTATTTAGTCGTTTTTCCTCCCTGCAGACCCAACACATTCTAAGGATTTTCATCAACCAGATCCAGTGATGATGGTCTCTGTTGGGGACAATGTCACTCTGCGCTGTTTTTTTCTGATAGATCACACTGATCCAATTACTTGGTACAAGCAAACTTCTGGACACCATCCACAAGCTGTTGCGATGGTGCAGAAATTAGCCAAAACTCCTCATTTCTTTGACAACTTTAAATCCTCACGTTTTAGCATTGAGACAGACACAGAAAAATGTCATTTAAGGATTTCAAATGTCACTTCATCGGATGAAGCAATGTATTACTGTGGCTGGAGAAAGTATGAAACTCACTTTGCTGGAGGCACATATTTGGCTTTGAAAGGTTTGTGTTTTATCCTTCAGGAGTAAATTTATTGAATATTCAAATCATGTAGTCTACTTGTTAAAATTTCTTACAACCATTATTTTAAGTTGCAGGGCGGGGGGGATCTTTAGTAAATAATACGGGAAATACTATAATTCTATAATAGTATTTATATACTATAACACTATAATTGTATTTGTTACATATGATTATTTGCAAAATTATAGTCCACATTAATTTCAATTCTAAAATAAGTCCTTTGCTGAAGCATGTGATTTTGCATATGCATAAAATGTCTCCATGTCTGTTTAGGGTCAAAAAACAACCGATATGAATCCAAGGTGTCTGTTCTTCAGCATCCTGGATCAGAGCCTGTCCGGTCTGGAGACACAGTGACCCTGCAGTGCGCTGTGCTGTATGAACACAGCACCACAGATATCAGGATGTTCTGGTTCAGATCTGATTCAGGAAAATCTGTTCCAGAAATCCTCTACACTCATAATCAGTCTAATCATTGTGAGACTGATTCTACACGGAGCTGCACTTTCAAACTGTTTAAGAACATTAGCAGCCAAATGGACACGGGCACTTACTACTGCGCTGTGGTCACCTGTGGAAAAATTCTCTTTGGGAATGGGACACAAATAAATATGGGTAAGTGCGAATTATTTTCTTCTCAGGCTTTTTTAATATTTTGTAAGCAACTAAAAGTTTTAGTTCTAAAAAAAAAGCTTTTTTTTTTATCATAAATGGTTGAGTTGCTCATTTGAAATATTTCTGTATGCGTTCTTTGATGGAGAACACATCTTTGTTGTATAAAACAGAGCCTCTCTATATGCCAATTGACTAAATATTGGAAATGTTTACATTTTAATTAATGTATAACGTTGTATTCATGTAATTCTATTAAATGTTTAATATAAATCATAAATGTACATCTCTGCAATGGACACAGTACATTCACATACACACAATTTGTTTTATTTTACTGTTCTGCAGTAAAGCCAGTGGATCCTCTGGTGATTATCTTGGGTGTGTTATTGGGCGTTTGTATAATTGTGATCACTGCTCAAGCTGTTTTAAGTCATAAAAAGGAAAGATACTACAATAACAAAGGTAAGCATTTTGATCTAATTTGTCTCCTTAAAATAAACATAGGCTTACTTTAATGGGCTTAAATAAAAATCACTCTCTTTGTGGGTAATGTAAATTATATTTAAATGGTTAGCAAAAAAAAAACCACTTCTAAAAAGTTTTAAGAAATTTTCTTCCTGAACTGACATATTAAATACTGTTTTAGTTATCTGACAAAACATTTCTTTTTTTTTTTTTTTACAAAAGCTTCCATTGCAATGTTGTTTTTCTTTCAACCAGAAAAAAGGCTTCAAGACATTGAAAAAGAACATCCCTCGTGTCAGGTGTGCGTCATAAATCAATTTCAATTCAGTCATGTATTTTATGTATAACACAGCCCTGCATCTTGGAAAAAAAAAAAAAACAATCTGCTGATTTGCAGAAAAAAACTAATATTACCTAATTTGATGAAGCCGAGTTTAAAAATATCAGAGAAAACTTTCCATTGCGTAGTCCCCCCCCCACAAAATATGAATGAACATTTTTCAAATATCAAAAATGTTGGTTTTCATGACAGTATTAATAAAGTATACTTCAAAGAAGTGTTCAAAATGTATCATTTAATTCTGCAAAGGAGTGGAAAAGTATGTTCATGTACTCATTTAATGTCAAAGAAAGTTACATAAATAACATAAAAGTTTATAAATAAGCTTTTTCACAAAATTCAAATGTAAATGTAAATTTTCTGTTGCTGTTTGGATGTGGTAAAAAACCCACGGATTTAGCAAAATCATTTACATTTTCTTCTGTCTCTGGCCATAATTCTAACCTTGAAACCTTGAGATTATAATCATAAAAATATATCTGCAGAATCATTCATACATGTGAAAATCGGCTAAGAATTGAACAAATGTAACCTTGTTCAGAAGAAGATATGAATCATGTCTTTGTCGCAGTTTTTCTGGCGATTAAGGGATTATACAAGACTTTTGTTGCAAGACAAGAATGGTTGCCAAAAACAAAAATGCTATGAAATGCATATCATATTTTGTGAGGAAGTTTGATGTGCTAGAGCAAAACAGGCACTATTTTGGAAATCAGCACCCCAAAATTTAATTTAGCAAATATGATGCTGGGTGGTGTAATTTGTAATTTCATATTATTTAATTTTATTTTAAATTCTTACTTTCTATTCTTCAACAGTACATTTAATATGAAATTAAATAAAATATGACATAAAAAGATTTTTATTTTTTCTTATACATTTTCTTTTAACTGCATCTTTCTGTCATGTGTTACTTCTTAGGACCATGATGCAATGGAGTTGAGTTATGCTGCTTTGCATTTTAAGGAGGGAAAAAACAGAAGAGTGAGAAGGAAGGGGGAAACACCTCAAGACAGTGTGTACAGCCAAGTCAATAACCCCCATGAGACTGACCATAGCGTAGATGAGTACAGAAGTGTATAGAATTAGACAGCAAATTTATGGTGATTAATTTACTAACTAGCTACATGCGTCTTTCTGCAAATTCCATCATTGCATCTAATTTTGTAATAAAATTGTGTACATACAACATATTTGAATTTACACAGTTGTGATTACATTTTTTATTAACTCCCGCCCTCTCACCCCCACAAAATTCATTTTGCAATCCCCATTAAATGGAACTTAAAAAGTTGCCAATGCTCATTTATTCAAATTGTAAATTCTACTGAACAAACAATGTTGAATGATCAAATATACAGTAATTGTTACAAATATGTTATATTAAAGAAATTGGCCAATTTTCCCTCTTTTTTTTTGACCAAGATGTTTCATTCTCAAATTATTTTATTGGGCATCATTGTCCCCTCAAGCTTCTTGATCTTGATTAGCATCAAAAACTGGATGTGTGACTGTAAAAAAAAAATTACAAATAAATATAGAAAAAAAAAGAAGAAAAAAGAAGAAGAGGTTAGTGCAAACTAAAGGCCACAATCTTAGATTTTCATCTGTTAAAATAAAAGCTCTCAGTCTGGTGTGATTTTAATTGATTTTACAGTGATTAAAAATGACAGAAGTATGTGTAAGCATCAGCTTGTGGATTTTTATGACTGGTTTAGATCACAAGCTCCTCTGAAACTTTTATTCCTAGAAATCGAAAAACATATTCTGACTTCACAAACAGAAATTTGGAGAAAAAACAATAACAATTACTTTACCTTTGCGTCAGACATTTCAATATGGACAGGTATGTGTCCTCTATGATGCTGACTGGAGATGGAATAAACTGGAGATGAAGCTATAAAAAAAGATAAATTAATTTCGATTAACAGTGACTGAGGATTGCCTTTCTAACTAATATAAATCAACAGTTATTTTGAAAGGTCATCACTTGCAAATATAAGGTTTACTGTATGATGTTGACATAAACAGTGGTTTTATACCTATTTTTTATCAAATGACATTACACTTTCTACAGTGTTATGAGTTTTGTAAATTTGGTCAATTTACAGATACATCATTTGAGGTTATAGGAGTGCAGAAGAGTATTAAAAAGATATAGATTATATGTAATCTATAATATAAAATATAGCAAAACATACCCTTTTCTTGTTTAATCCTGATGCACAGACATATGATCCACATGGCACATATTCAAATAATGTTGCACTGAAAGATAACGACTTCGATAAGATAATCTCTCTCTGTTGGATTTAAAGCTGAAAAACAAACAGAACAGTGCAATTAATATTCATTTTATGACTTAAAATCACTCTTACATGCACACGGAAAAACTTAAGAAATGCAAATATATCTGATTTAGTTTTGATGTGATTGAGTTTTCAGCTCATAAAACAAGAACTCACCTGTAGAGTTAAAAGATGATACATTTAACGTCAAAAATACTCCATTTCCAAACTCAATATCAAAGAAAATCTCCACTCCACAGTAATAGACCGCCTCGTCCCAGTGACTAATGTTAATGATACTAAGAGAAAGTCTTTTCTTTGACCTGATGATATTGAAGCGTGTTCATATATCCTTTATGAAAAATGGGATCAGCAACTGCTCCCGCTTTAACAACAGCACATGGCTGCTGGCCCTTGATTTGCTTGTACCAAAACATGTCATACATGCTGTAGTTTTCTGCGAAAAAGCACTGCAGAGTAACATTGGTACCCGGGTCAAATGGGATAACAGAGTCAGGCTGATGAAGAACCGTGCAGTGAGTAAAATCTGAAATAAAGAAACAAAAGCATTCACACCAGGTTTAAAAAACAAGCCACTGACTTAAAAGGCGGAAGTAGAGACGCTGCTGTGCTTTCTTGGCCAGTGCTGCGGTGTTGTCAGTCCAGGAGAGATCCTCTGTGATCCACTTACATATATTAAGATAAAGTACCACAAATGCCTGGATAATCTGGACAAACATCATATGTAGCATGATAATACATTTGAGACATACAGTATAACGCATGCATTTGCTGCTGTGGGCTTCCTGTTCTTCCTGTGACAGACCTTTTACCAGACATTGGTAATTATTCAAGGTGTGATGGAGGTGTTAAAGTGAAACCACAAGTTTCCATTCTACGTTCATCTGTGCACCTGTTGCTGTTTTTTCTTTAAATCTAAATTTAAATATTTTCTTTAAAATCTAAAATGAGGACAGTACAGCAGTAGAAGAAATGTTTATCTATTATAGTAACTACTAATAAGGTTTTTACCATCCAGCCTGGGACTGCATATGAATTTAATCTATTCATTTTAAATTAAAGTAAGCCCAGTTGCCCCATTGAGGAGAAACAAAGGCTGACAAACCATTATCACATATTAAAACATATTTTTTTGTATTAAAAAATGTTGCATGCGTTGTAGGTCTTGATAAAAAGTGTGAAAAAATGGCCTATTGTTCTTTTTTCTGTTACTGTTATGTGTGCGCATATCACAGGCGGTCCATAAATGAAAAAAGTGAAAGTAAAACTGTAAGACTAGGGTGGCCTTTCGTCTTGACTGGTGTTATTCTGGCTTGCTGGTAATACATATGCTAACACTATCTGTCACGTCTGGGGCAGCTCTGGGGTCAAGCATGCAGATCCCGAGTCATCCAGCAGTTTCAAAGACAAGAGAGGAGCCGCCGTCTGAGAGCTTCAGGAGGCTGTGATGTTCATCTGATGTGGCAGATCTTTCTGTGTTCACTGGCAAAATAATTTCATAATTCATCTGACAATTCTCAGGAAACTTGATAAAGCACAGAAAGTGTTAAAAGCATTTTAGTAGCTATCACCATCTCTTTACGACTTTGCCCATCCAATCTACAGTGTAATACTTTTAAAAATCACAATCATATAGTAAGACTAGCCTATAATTTAGTATAGGAATCAGCTTATTATATTCAAATATAGTCAAATCGTTTTTTCAACCATTTTAAATTTTGTGAGTTCTGCTGCCCTCATAAGGTGAGCTTTGAAATTGCAGGTAATGACAAACCTTGTGCTGTTAAATGTTAAATGTTAACCATTTATTGTCACCAAAACATGAGCATTTCAGTCACAACACATACCATTTCAATTTAAACCGCTTTAAACAGACTTTTTAAATTGTAAATTTACAACATCGGTACATTAAATTCTGCGCTGGCCTGGATGAAATCAAATTTCAGACATATGATTGAAAAAAAAAGCAACAAACAAAAAAAAAAAACCTACATCACATTAAAGCCTACTTCACACAAAGGCTAAATCAATAGTAAAATGCATCTATGTTTTGAACTGCTGACAGCAACCAGTTTCTTTGAAGTACATGCTTCTCATGCAACCGCACATATCGTACAGAAATGTGTTTATTGCTAATTTGCATTTAGCCAGAAGATACAGATACCAACCGATAACCAACAGTGAACTCACATGCCAAGAGCAAACTACTGCACTACTAATGCAACTAATTATCAACCAAAAACTACTATCATTGTCCATTCAAAACTGGTAAACTGTGAGTGAGGTGGTTATACCATAAACCATCCACTAGACTTCAGCTCTTTGACTCTTGTGCTGGGACAGTAGTTCACAAGCATCTTTATTTTTTTTCCCACTGCAAAACTTTAAAATATTCAGAAAACTATTCAACATCTGCTTAAATATAAATTACAGACAGATTAAATGAAAATTAAATAAAAAATGCAAAACAATAACAGAGAGAGAGAGAGAGAAAAGCAGAATATATCACCAATTTTAGCATATGTTTTTGATGAGGTCTAATCTTTTCTAGTGTTTCACAGCAGAGTACACACACTCAGTGGGGTTCACTTCTGTTTGTTCCTCACGCTCTCCTTTGTCTTTGGAAACACTCAGAGAGTATTGTGCAGAGTATTGTCTGTCGTCTGGAACCTACAAGTAAACACAGTATATCTCTCAGTATATCTTATAATGGATATAATAATTACATTATGTATGTTCATAATTCATAATTGTTTTATATGACATACTTATGAAAGTTGAAAGATCTTATACTCACATGAAAGATCTTTGAAAACAAAAATGGTAAATAATAAAAATGTTTGCATGTGCTAAAACTGTACCTGGTCATCTGATTGCTCAGGCTCATTTGCTGTTCCACGACTACACCAGACAGCAATATAATTATCTTAAAAAAGAGGCAAAATAGCATATGATAATTATTGTCATTTTTATTGTAATAACTAATGACATTTATTTTGTAGTGGTAATAAAATAAAAGTTACATACTGTAAAAGTTCTGGCACGAGTCTCTATATCTTGTCATGCAAATGCAGTAGACATTTACAGCAAAAGAAAGCAGTAATGCTTCACAGAGAATTACGATGATAGGAATGTAAAAGTTTCCATAGCAATAACCTGAGACATTTAAAAAAATATGATGTGACTGAAATGATGAAACTAGCTTCATACACACAAAATAATCTTATGACATAGAAAGTTATTACAAAATAAGATGGAAAACTGCTTGAAACAGGAAAAGGGTTTCAAATAAAACACATCCCCTACCTGTCTGACAACATGTCCCAGCATCTGAAACAGAACATAGGCTTATCACGATAGATAGATGTATTTTATATCTAAATCTAAATCTATATATATATTACTATGCATACTATATATATATTTACTATGCATTATATATATATATATATATATATATATATATTTACTATGCATTATATATATATATACTATGCATTATATATATATATATATATATATATATATATATGTAATGCATAGTGCTTATATATCACAAATATTGTTGCATCTAGAATTACATTTTTCCTTACCTGAGTCGCTGTTTTCAGAGCCTGAAAAGAAAAAAATACTGGCTTTACAAGGAAGTGATTTCTCATGTCGAAAAATGTTTCAGTCAAACCGTAACAATATAACCATTATGTTACAATGTTAAATGTACAATATACAACAACTAAATCCTCAGTTTGTTTTCCTTTTGATCCAAAGCATGAT